TGAGTCAAACCAGCTAGGACAAACACTTGATTTCTTAAAAGAAATACTTGTAGGCCTCCTTTTTTTAAAAAAAGGCCTGTATCTTTTTTTTTCTTTATTGATTAGGGTATTACATAGGGGTCCTTATTCCCCCTTTAGTCCCCCCACCCCCCAGTCATGCCCTCACCCCCCTGGTGTCTGTGTCCATTGGATAGGCTTATATGCATGCATATAAGTCCTTTGGTTGATCTCTCCCCCTTATTTCTTTTTAGCCTTTACTGCATTTCTAATTTTTCAGTTTTTATTAGATAGTTTAAAGAGCAATCTCTCTTTTTTTTTTTTTTATACACACAGAGCATGTACATTAACTGAAGGAAAAGTAAGCTGGCTTTTTGCCAGGTGTACCGGTTAATAATGCAGATGTGTTATCAAAGAAAACACGATAATTTCAAGAGAAACATCCAAAGTGCTTTATTCAAAGTAATGTCCATCGCTAGCTACACATTTCCCCCATCTCTCAGGTAATTTGTGGATACCGTCCCAATAGAACTTTTCTTGTTTTGCGGCAAACCATTCAGAGACCCAATTTCCCACTTCTGCGTACGTATTGAAGTGCTGCTCAGAAAGTGTGTGTACCACTTGTGGAACAAGTGGTTATCTGAAGAGGCAAGGTCTTGTGAATACAGTGGGTAGGTTAATACTTCCCAGGCAAGATCTTTTAATGTGTCTTTAAAGTTTTGAAGTGTGTGATGGTGCGTCATCATGAAGCAAAATTTCTTTGCCATGTCTTCTAGCCCATTCTGGTCGTTTCACGATCAAAGCATGGTTCCAATTGATTATTTATTGTCGGTAGCAATCAGTATTAACGGTTTCACCTGGTTTTAGAAGCTCATAATACACCACACCTTCCTGATCCCACCAAACGCAGAGCATTGTCCTGTTTCCGAAGCGATTTGGCCTTGTAGTCAATGTTGATGGTTGACCTGGGTCAACCCATGGTTTTGTGCATTTGGGATTCTCAAAATCACTTTTCATCTCCAGTCACAATTTGATGCAAAAAAGACTCTTTCCTGACAGTGAAGCAACATTTTACTGATGATTTTTCAGTTTTCCATTTGTCTTTTGTTCAGTTGATGTGGCACCCATTTTCCTTCCTTTAAAATCTCTCCCATTGCTTGTAAACGATCGGAAATTGTTTGCTGAGCAATGTTTAAACTTTCTGCAAGTTGTTTTTGAGTTTGACACGCATCTTCATCCAATAATGCTTGTAATTATTGGTCTTCAAACTTTTTCGGTTGACCTGGACGTTCTTTGTCTTTCACATAGAAATCATCACTTTTAAAGCGTTTAAACCAGCGTTCACAAGTATCTTGAGATGGAGCATGTTCACCATAAGTTTCCCGAAGTATATGATAACTTTTTCTTCAAAATAAAGTAATGAATTAAAACTTCCCGCAAATGCTCTTTTTTTGGCACGAAATTCGACATTTTGAAGCATAAAAATATCTATGATGTTAACACCTTCAGCAAATTTGACATATGAAGTTTTGAAGCTTGCTGTCAATACAACAAAATAGCATACATATCAAATCACATATATATATCAACATATGTGTAACTCCATCTATTGAAAAAAGTCTGCATTATTAACTGGTACATCTGGTAGACAGACACACTCCCCCACCTTTTTATTAAAGGTTCAATTCATTAATTTTTAGCCTTCATGGCATTTCTCATTTTTTTATTATTGAACAGATTAAAGAGTTGTTGACTTATTTTTACACTAGAGGCCCAGTGCATGGATTCGTGCACTGGTGGGGTCCCTTGACATATTCTGCAGGGATCAGGTTGAAACCAGCAGTCCAACACTGCCCGCTGCTCCTGCTTGCCGCTCTTGCTCATCCCGGCTTCACTGCATCTCCTGCCGCCACTGCCGCTTAGTAGGCTCACTGCTGCTCTGCTGTGGTCTTTGGGCTGCGGCAGCCAGCTGTGAGCTCTGTGTCTGGTGCCCGTCTGTCAGCTGATTGGCACTCCCGCTGTGGGAACGCACTGACCACCAGGGGGCAGCTCCTGTGGTGAGTGTCTGCCCCATGGTGGTCAGTGTGAGTCATAGCGATTGGTCATTTGGTCGCTTAGGCTTTTATATATATAGATGTACAAAGTGACATGCACATTAATGGTGAAGGAATAATAATTTGGCCTTTTAGGACCCAGGTGTTTTTTGTTTCTGAACTAAATATAAGTTTGAAAAATAGAAAGATTTGAATAGTGGTTGGGGTCTATAGATAGAAGTAGTAATAGATTTGCCTCCAAATCAATTAAATTACTTGACTGCTAGTAGGTGGGTGGGTGGTTTTGTGTGTAATGAAAACACTGAAATTAGAGCCAGGAGCTATGGGTTTTGCCTCTGGCTTTGACAGTCACTGGTTCTATGGCTTTGGGCAGGTCATCTAGATCCTTGGGCTGCTTTTAAAACAGCCCAACTGCCCAGCTGGTGTGGCTCAGTGGTTGAGTGTCAACCCATGAACCAGGAAGTCAGGTTTCGATTCCCAGTCAGAGCACATGCCCGGGTTATGGGCTTGATCCTCAATAGGGGTTGTGCAGGAGGCAGCCGATCAATGATTCTCTCACATCAATAATGTTTCTCTCCCCTCCCTTCCTCTTTGAAATCAATAAAAATATGTACTAACTAGGCCTGGCCAGCATTGCTCAGTGGTTAAGCATCCACCTATGAACCAAGAGGTCCCTGGTTTGATTCCCAGTCAGGGTTTCAGGCTTGCCCAGTAGGGGGCATGTGGGAGGCAGCCAATCAATTTCTTTCTCTCTCATCTATGTTTATATCTCTATCCCTCTCCCCCCTCTCTAAAATCAATAAAGACATATATATTTTTTAAAGTACTAAGTAGGATCATAGAATTTTCAGAGTTGAATGAGCCTCAGAAAGTATTTAGGGAAATCCCCTTCATTTTCCTAAAGTGACTAAGTCATGGTTAATGAAATCCATTATCACTAAGCAAGGACTTAATTGCTTCTTCTCATTATGGTAATAAGTGCTTTTAATTTTTTCATGCTGATTTAAATTAATATTTTTTATTTCATGTACTGACTGGTGTTATTTATTGGAGTAACAGTTATAAAGTTTTCATTTGGATTAACATAAAAAGTTAGTTATCACAAGCATGTTCATTTAATGAATGACTGTTGAGCCAGATTTGTCTTTTATGGTATTTGGTGTATGAAAGGGTGACTCTCAAAATACCTAATTTTAAGAGGATTACCCCCTCATTAGAATGTGGTCTAGTAACTTAGTATTAAGTCTTCCTCTTGGCCACTTAGGCTGTACACCACAGTGATTGAGAGCATTGGATTCTAGAACCAGATTTCCTGTGTTTGAATCCCAGCCCTGCCATGTACTGGTAATGTGCCCTGTGCATGTTAATTAACTTCTGTGTACTCTGGTTCCTCATTTGTAAAATGGGAATAATTATAGTGCCTATCTCATGGGTTACTGGGAGATTAAATAAACTAATACATATAAAGTGCTTCAGAGAGTGTCTGGCACAAAATAAGTGATACATATTTTAACTAATACTATTGTTAGGCCATGATTGCTTTTATTTAACTTGTCAGCCAAAGTAAGAAGATAGTATGTTACATATTTCATGTATATTTCTTTTTTAAAAACAATTCGATATAATTCCATTTTAGTGAGTTTTTAAAAAATATGTTATTGATTTCAGAGAGGAAGGGTGAGGGATGGAGAGATAGAAACATCAATGATGAGAGAGAACCATTGATTGGCTGCCTCCTGCAAGCCCCACACTTGGGATCAGGCCTGCAACCTGGACATGTGCCCTGAATGGGAATCGAACCGTGACCTCTTAATTCATAGGTGGACTTTCAACCACTGAGCCATGCCAGCTGGGTGCTTTTTTTTTTTTTCCAGACAAGAGCTCTTGCTCATTTTATTCAGTGATTTATATTTAGGAAATGTCAATATAATCTGCTTTAGGAAGAAACAACACAGACAAAAAAGAAATAAAATATCATTGTATGCCTGTTACTGAGTGTTCTCATATGTTTTTTTAAAAAATACATTTAAAAAGTGTCATTTATGATGCTCTGCAGTATTTTACAGTATTAAATTATATTACTTAATTTCATATAATTACAATTTTTAAATTCTCAGATTTTTTTTAAAGCTGGAAGGAAAGTAGTAAATCATCAAGACTAAATGCTTCACTTTATAAACAAGGGAACTGAGGCTCCAAGAAGTGAAATGACTTACCCAAAGTCACTGAGACTAGAGCTGGCAACCTCTCAAGTCGATTGTTCTTTCTTTCTTGCATGATGCCTGCTGTTCCACTTTCAACTTGTACTGTCATTTATCAAGCTTTCTCTAAAATACTATCTATAACAGAACATCTAGCTGGATAAGATGTTGAGTGTTTTTTTGTTTGTTTTTCCAAAAGAAGGCTTTGATTAGTAACATTTCACTCCTTTAGGAAACATGTGTAATAGTATCCCTATTTATTTCAATTCAGTCAAATGTCCCTGGATGAATTCTTAGGTATATACTCAAGGGAGCAGGTTAAAACACACACGCACACACACACACACACACACACACACAAAAGAGGTATTATTTGCCTTGTCCAACTAAGAAAGGAAATTTCATGGCAGATTTTATTAATCAGATTGATCAAACAGTTAAATTGCAGCCTATATTTTGTTCCTAGAGAATTTGAATAATCAATTCCACCAGTCTGCTATGCATATGAGGATATGTAAATATTTTAGATGTGCACTTACAGAACCTATGGCATATACCCTGATACCTTGGTTATATATTTCCACTTTACCTGCTTTTAATCAATATTCATTTATGGTTTTTTCTGGATTATGGTTGATTAAAAGTGCTAGACCATATAAATACAAGTATGACCATACGTTGCTTTTAAAAATAAATGATCGCCAAGTAACGTGGTCTAAGTAAAATGTTCTCTTTTTTAATTATGTAGTCCTCGCCATCCTCATCACAGCCTCATTGTAGCCACTGCAGAACGAAGGCCTCATCATTGTGTCACCATGCATCCCTGCCCTGGGTCAAACGTAACCATGTAGACCCTGCAAAGGCTACCAGTCCATCTCTCCGTCTTCGTCGCTGGCGACCCTTCTTACGCCTACCATCTTTGGGTCTCCATTCTGTTGTAAGTGTAGTCAATCTTCCATCTCTTCTTCCAGTGACAAGGGCAGTCCATTTTTCCCCTTAAACTTCTTCGGTCTTCAAAATGCTTTTCTCTTGGTTCACTCAACCATTAGTTTTCCCTCCCAGTAAGATTGCAAGCATACCTCCATGCTTTGCAGTCTAGCTTGACTTTCACCAATGCCTTGGTGAAATCCATCTTTCCACTTCATGTCCTACCAATGCAAGAATGCCTGCCTTTTGATGAGTGTTAATGGACATTCATGATAATGTTTACGTTCCTATCATTCATTAAAGTGAATATGTATTCTTTTACCCTTCATCTTTCTGATTTCATTTAGTTGACTCGGGTCAACAAATGCTGTGTACCTTCTGAGTTCTATACCATTTCTTTTTTTTTTTTTTCTCATGTTTCTGAACATGACTTTAGGCTCTTGTCATGCTCTGGGGTGCTTTACTTACTCTATCCTTAATCTAATACTTCATGGTGTAGGGTGTTTCATCTAAGCTATTTTTTCTTGAGGTGGCTCAGGTACTTGGTTTAATCTTGATCCAATCTTCCTTGCCTATTCAGTTTAAAGAACATCTTTCCAAGTAAGAGGCGAAGGTTTTTTTCCTTGTGAATTGATGTAGGCTTCCCACAAATTTTAGGATTTCTCCTTCTTGAGTAGATAATATTAGCAAACTATTTAAAAGTGTATGTATATGTTCTTATAATCTTGCTAATTTTCTTAAATGTTGAGGTTGATGATAGAATTCTAATTATTTTCATAATTGAAATAAACTGCAGGTTTCAGCAACTACAGCTCTTGTCTTTCTGATGTTTTAGACTATTAGTGGCAATGACTTTGGATTGGTTGAGAGATTTGGTATATGCCATACATTTATAAGAAACTTGACACTTCTATAAATCATCATGACTTTCGAAGCCAAAGGAAGTCTGATTACACATAATGTTTAATGCTTAAAAAAAAAATTGGTGTCAAACATTCTTTCCTCCCTTTACTTACTCTTCTAGAGCTATATTCAAATTCTGAAGTGGAGTCGTGGCACTTTTCCTTAAACATCTGCTTCCTCCAAATAGCAGTATGGTCATCAAAAGAACCTTTGATTTTTGCTGAGTATCAACAAAACTGGTGTCTCTGTGTTTCATTATCTTCATTGGGTCACAGTGTGTATTTGTCATTTTTATTCATTTATCATATTTGTTGTTTCCCTACTGTGCCAATTTGTACAGTAGGAGATATAAGGTGAATTAAATGATCAGAGTAAAACCCTAATTTTGTAAAGTCTGTCTTAGGCATAATTGATTCTAAATATGAATAAATTTCTTTGTACTTAAAACTATTCTAAATATAAATGAGCATATCATAAAATTTGTTTTTTCCAGGTTTATGTGTTTTTATATAATTTTGATCTTTGCTCAATATTAATTCCATTGCTTTATATCTTCATAAATATTTTCATAGCCTAGTGGTTAAGCACACAGATTCTAGAATGACACTGCCTGGATTTGTGATCTAGAACATGTTACTTAATGCTTCCATGCCTCAGTTTTCTTGAGAGTAAAATGGGTATAATTATATTACCCACCTTGCAGGGTTTAAATGATAATTAATTGGTCAGTACATTTAAGACTTAGAACAGTGCCTAATATATATTAAGTACCATACAATTATTAATTAAATTTCAACCATACCTTTTTATAATTTGAAATATCTGTTTAGTATTTACTTTCTATCTAATTAATTTGTTATATTACTTTTTAATTGTTTGGGATAAGTATTTTATTCTAAATTAGGGAACTTTATAAAAAATAATATATATAAATGTAGGCAAAAATGATCCAAATCTATGGCTTCTGTTTTTTGCCCTTTGTTTATTATATGTTGGTCATTTTTTTTAAATGAAAAACTTATTGGAATTTGCTTTTTATTTATTCTTGTTTTGGGGTGGAATCATTTTTAAGCAGTGAATAATTGCACTTTTCAGATTACACGTAGACAAAAGGAAAAGGCTCATAGCAAGTACTGACACACAATTTTGAGTCACTAGATTTAGTGATTTCTTAGATTTTGTGATAATGCAGTATTAATATTGTAATAATACAGAATGTTTAGTATCACTTAACAATTTACAAAGTAATACATTTCATTTAAACCTCAAAACAGATAACAAAATCAGTGTTTACAGGGATTGAGTATATATGTTCATATATCTGACTCCAATTATACTACTTTTATCTTTAGCACAATTATATTTACTGGCAAGATAAGAAAAATGGAAGCTATAAGATGCAATATGCTTAGAAGAAATGGTGTTAAAATATTTTAAAATTTTTGAAAACATGGATCAAAAGATTTAATATCCTGTTGGAGAATCGTATCTTAAAATGAGAAAACCAGACCTTTTCCTAGTTGGATAAACAATTCTTTCTGGCATTTTTTATAGAATTGAATTTATCATTTGTAGAATTGCCTAGGTTTAGCCTTGAAAATTTGAATTCTCTTTGGGTCATTGGTATTAGATTGAGCAATCAGTAATACATTTGATTCTCTGACCAGGAAAGTAAGGGAACTCATTGTCACCATCTTTAATTATTTGAAGAAACATCATGCTCAGGAGCTATTAGACTTTTTATAAGATGGTGGAAAACACTGGGAAACATATTTTAGCTTCAGTATGAGGGTCAAAGATGGAATGGATTGCTTCAAAGTCTAGTGACAGTTTCCTGTTGTTGGAGGGTCTACCAAAAGTACGGGCTGTGGTAGAGAGGAGATTAACAACAGTAACCTAGATGACTTTGATTGCTACCAACTTCGGAATTCTTTAGTTCTATGTTGAAGTTAGGAAGAGCTAGTTTGCCACATCAGTTTTTGTTGCTGTTTTCTCATTCATAAACTTGAAGAAAATAATTCCTGAAGAATAATGTGAGATTACATGAGTCACTCTATCTGTAAATGTTTTAAGAGCATTCAGTAAATCCAAGATAATGTTTCTTCTGTATCTTTCAATTTCTGCACCTGAAAACTTCATATTATAACTACTTAAAATTATGTAATTACTAACGAGTAAAAAAAATACACATTTTAGAGTTAAGCTACTATTGTGTTACAGGATGTTACATACATAATATGAGAAGTAATTTGATTTATGCCTTGTGAAAACTTTGTTTCTAAAATGTGTACTTGCATTTAACACTGATTGTACTTCATTTCACACCATTTAGATTCGATAAATAGTTAACACATATTTGTGTTAACTGTAGTTACTGCGTATTAAAGACAGTGTGAGTGAATCATGTATTGACTTTGCATAAGTTACTTGAATGTTTAACAAATGTAGCAGATATTGCTCATGAAAATTGAATTTGGTAAGCCAAAATAGTTTTAATTTCAAAGCGTTTACTAAGAAAGCAAGAGAAAAAATATAGGCTACAGTTAGTTGTATTTTAATTTGCTCTTATCCTTATTTTCCCCCTTTAACCTTTTGGGTTATTTTCCTGAGTCTATTCATTTATAAACCTTTTGAATGTAGGATGAGTAAAGATACTTATTTTACTCTAAAACTCTTTATGTTCTATTTTTCAAAAAAATAATATTATCAAAGTCAAGTTATTAAGGGAGAACTCACTTTCTTTAAGTCTTAAAACTTAGAGTTTTTAAAACTGTTTATGCTATTAAAATGTAAAAGATTTTCTTTTTCAAATTTCAAAAATTAGACAAATCACTTTATGCATTTATTTCATTCAGAAAGTATACATTGCACATTTACTATATATACCAGGCATTGTGTGAAGTTCTGGGCCTTTGAAGGTGAACAAAGCTTTAGATATTTAGATTGTTGAGATTAAGAAAAATGTGCTTGTAGTTGACATTTTTCTTGATGATGGGTGAGCACGTTGTTATAAACGTAAACATATTTACTCATTGTCCACTATATCAAAGGTTAAGCCTTTAATTATTTTGGATAAATGCTCTCTGATGTGATTTGATACTTGTATGTGTTTACATGTACTTGCTTGATTTGTTTGATTATAAACATATGTAATATGTATGTTTCCTCCTATTGCAGGCACCAAATATAGATGAAAAAGTAGATCTTCATTTTATTGCATTAGTTCACGTAGATGGGCATCTCTATGAATTAGGTAAGAACTTTAAAAATTTACTCTGGGGAGAGAAATTGGAAATGAAAAAGTCTGTATTTGTGATAAACGGGATTGTTGGTATTTATTATTTACTTATATTATATTAATTGATTGCGTTATAGCATTGAACTGGCATAATGAAAGTTTTTCATTTAAGACTTCTTACTAGAAAAAATCAAATTTTTCTTTGGTGTTCAAGCAACTTACAATTCAAAATGTTTGCATACCACCTTTACATTTTAGCAAAGCAGTAAAGTAAAAATCATTATAGGAAACTCCTGTAAATCACTCCCAGCACTTTTTACTATGTTATTGAGATAGATATCATCAACATCTGCATAAGCCATTTTGATCCTGAAACTAGTTTTAAGACATAGTGTATTATTCATGTCTAGTTTTTATATTTGGTAATGAGTATTACTAGTTTTCAGGCTTTTGTACTATCCCTTTGTATTACATCTGACTTTTTAAAAAAATGTATTTTTATTAATTTCAGAGAGGCAGGGAGATGGAGAGACAGAGATAGAAACATCAATGATGAAAGAGAATCATTGATTGGCTGCCTCCTGCACACCCCCAACCAGGGATTGAGCCCACTGGCTGGCTACATCTGACTTTTTAAAAGACTTTACAAGAGTCTGTTTTCTGGCAACAACTTCCTAGGGCATATGTCAAACTACACATGATTAATTACTTAGAATTTTGGCACTTAGTTTTTAAAAAGTTTAACTCCAGGTAGATTATTTCAGGGACTATTTGGAGGAAATCTTCATAATTTTAATTGTTTCATTTAGATAGAGAACTTCTTATGACTCCTTCATAATTGATCTATAGTACTTTAGTACTTATGAGTCCTTGTTCTTCTCCATGAGACCTTCTTGTGTTCAAAAAAAAGAGGGGGGGGGGGCAAATAAAGAAACAAAAAAGTGAAGTACTTTTCAATATTAACTTGCCACTTTTAATTTTCTTAACTTATTTAAAGACAGAGTTTTAAAAAATTTTTAAATCTTTTTATTACAGTTTGCATTCAACACTTTTTTGTACTAGTTTCAGGTGTACAGCATAGCTGATAGACATTCATGTAAGTTAAGGACAAAGAATTTTGAAAGAACTCAGCTTACAACTGCAAATGAGGTCCATAAAATTTAGATGGATTTTGTGTTTGAAATATGCTAACAAAATTATATAATTTATTAAAAAGAAATTGCTCTATTAAAGGGGAAAAGGAAAGGAAATAACATATTTATAAAAATTGATGGTTGTCTTCTATAGTCAAATGATTTCAGTAGGAATCAAACTAAAATGAAAAGAAATTGTTATGGGAGTATGTAACAGACCTCAGAGCTTCACTAATTTATTCCATAAAATTTATATTTGCTAAGTCAGTCTATAAAATTTATATAGAGATAAGGTGTAATAGTGATTGGGGATTTCAGTTGTGTGACTGATTGCTGGAAACTTCATTTCCACTCTGAATAATAAAGAATAACTAGTAGAAATGGAAATAAAGAGAGTGCTGAGACTTACCAGACACATTCTGTTGACTTCAAGGAAGTAGATTTAGAAAAGGCCAGAGAAACGATACATATTATCCATAACTAGGGACTAAAAAGTAATGGTGACTTTCAGGATGAAACACTTAGTAATAAAATAAACAATAACATTGAAAAGATACTTAGAAAAAATAAATCTATGATCAATGGGAAGCAAAGAGTTGTCTAAAAAACTCAATTTGAATAGTTAGCTAGCAGTAGAAAGAAAGACATATATCAAAGGTAAGCTACATAGGAAGAATGTCCTATTTTGTAGCATGCCAAGATCAACACAGAAGTATTTTAAAATTGGTTTGAAGTAAGAATATCAGAAAAGAAAGGCAGAACTACTGAGATCTTGTTTGTTTTAGGTGTTCTTTAGCAAGAATGATCAGTATGGCTGATGGAGAATTAGAGCCCTTTGGAGATAGCAATCTTTAAAGGAGTTTAAAGAACTTCAGTTCTAAAGAATAGTCATAATCTTTGATATATCAGAGAGCAGGGGGATACTTATAAGACAAATGTGGATGGGCAGTTGCAAGGGAAATGGACAGTAACCCTGATATAGATTCCTAATAAATTCAAAAGGAATCTTGAGCAAGAAGAGAATTGAGTTATTGAATAAAAAATTGTAGATGACATGATACTATAAATAAAGAACCCCATGCCAGAACCGGTTTGGCTCAGTGGATAAAGCTTCGGCCTGCGGACTCAAGGGTCCCGGGTTCGATTCCGGTCAAGGGCATGTACCTTGGTTGCGGGCACATCCCCAGTCGGGGGTGTGCAGGAGGCAGCTGATCCATGTTTCTCTCTCATGGATGTTTCTGGCTCTCTATCCCTCTCCCTTCCTCTCTGTAAGAAATCAATAAAATATGTTTAAAAAAAAAAAAAGAACCCCAAAGATTCCACCAAAAAACTATTAGAACTGATAAATTAATTTAGTAAAGTGCAGGATGCAAAGTTAACATTCAGAAATCGATTGCATTTTTATACACCAATAATGAACTATCAGAGAAATTAAGAAAACAATTCACTTTACAATTGCATCAAAAAGAATTCAATACCTAGGAATAAATGTAATAACCAAGGAGGTAAAAGGTCTGTACTTGGAAAATTATAAAACATTGAAGAAAGAAATTGAAGAAGATACAAATAAATGGAAGCATATATTGCACTCATGGATAGAAAGAACTAACATTCTTAAAATGTCCATACTACCAAAAGCAATCTATAGACTCAGTGCAATCCCTGTCAAAATACCAATGGCATATTTCAAGAACTGGCATGAAAATAGACGCATACATCAATAGAACAGAATAGAGAGTCCTGAAATAAACCCACACCTATGTCAATTTATGACAGAGGAGGCAAAAATATACAATGGGATAGAGATAGTCTCTTCAATAAATGGTGTTAGGAAAACTGGACAGATACATGCAAAAAACTGAAACTAGATCACTTTCTTAACACCATACACAAGAATAAACTCAAAATGGATTAAAGACTTAAATGTAAGACTCATAAAACTCCCAGAAGAAAAGATAGGCAGTAAACTCTTTGACATTGCTCTTAGTAATATTTTTTGGGTCTATCTCATTGGGCAAGGGAAACAAAAGAAAAAACACACAAATGGGACTACATAAAACTAAAAAGTTTTTGCACAGAAAAGGAAATGATCAGCGAAATGAAAAGACAGCCTACCGAATGGAAGATACTCGCCAATGGTACATCCAATAATGGCTTAATATCCAAAAGATATGAAAAACTCATACAATTCAACACAAAAAAACCCCACAAACACTCCAATTAAAAAATGGGCAGAGGACCTGAACAGACACTTTTTCAAAGAGGACATACAGCTGGTCAATAGACATATGAAAAGATGCTCAAAATCACTAATCTTGAGAGAAATGCAAATTAAAACCACAATAAGTTATCACCTCACACCTTTCAGAATAGCTATCAAGCCCTAGTCAGTTTGGCTCAGTGGATAGAGCATCAGCCTGTGGACTTGAAGGGTCCCAGGTTTGATTCCGGTTGGGGGCACATGCCTGGGTTGCAGGCTCGATCCCCAGTGGGGGGTGTGCAGAAGGCATCCAATCAATGATTCTCTCTCATCATTGATGTTTCTATCTCTCCCTCTTCCTCTCTGAAATCAATAAAAATCTATTTTAAAAAATAAAATTAAAAAATTTTAAAGAAGAATAGCTATCAATAAATCAACAAACAAGTGTTAGAATGCAGAGAAAAGGGAACCCTCATATACTGTTAGTGGAATACTATAGGATACAGTATGGAGGTTCCTCAAAAAATTAAAAATAGAATTACAGTATGACCCCACAATTCCACTTCTGGGTATTTATCCTATTAAATCCAAAATACTAATATGAAAAGATAAATGCTTCTTTATGTTCATTGCAGCATTATTTACAATAGCCAAGATATGGAAGCAATCTCAGTGTCCATCAGCAGACGATTAGATAAAGAAGATGTGGTACATATATACAATGAAATATTACTTGGCCATAAAAAAAGAATGAACTCTTACCATTTGCACTAACATGAATTGACCTAGAGTGTATTATGCTAAGTTAAATAAGTCAGAAAGACAAATACCATGTGATTTCACTTATATGTGGAATCTAGAAAAACCCAAACAATAAATGGAGCAACAAATCAGAAACAGATTCGTACTTACAAAGAACAAATTGATAGTTGCCAGATGGGAAGGGCATTCAGAGCTGGGTGAAAAAGGTGAATGGATTAAGAAGTACCAGTTGGCAGTTACAAAATAGTAACAGGAATATGAAGTACGCATCTATACTAATGAAAGAAACATGCAAATTGATTGTCCCTCTGCTATGCCCACCAGCCAATCAGAGTGAGTATGCAAATTAACCCAACAAAGATGGTGGTTAATTTGCATATGTTGGTGCAGAGCAACGACTGAAGATAGTGTAGAAGGAAACCAAGCACTGCCAAAGGGAGCGAAGCTGCAGAGAAGCAAGCGGGGCGGCAGAGACTGCCGCAGGAAGCCCTATTCTTGCAGGAATCTTCCTGCAACAGGCCTCTAGTCTATATAATAAAAGCCTAAGCAACCGTTCTGGAGGAACAACCAGAACGACCAGTTGCTATGATGCGCACTGACTACAAGGGGGCAGACACTCAACGCAGGAGCTGCCCCCTGGTGGTCAGTGTGCTTCCACAGCCCACAGTGGGAGTGCCGCTCAGCCAGAAGCCAGGCTCATGGATGATGAGCACAGCGGCAGTGGCAGGAGCCTCTCTCACCTGTGTGGCAACGCTAAGGAGCAGCGAGCAGGCTGGTGGTGAGGAGCAAGGGGTCCCAGATTGTGAGAAGAATGTCCGACTGCCAGCTTAGGCCCATGGGGAGCGGGCCTAAACCGGCAGTCAGACACCCCCCAAGGGCTCCCGGACTGCGAAAGGTTGCAGGCTGGGCTGAGGGTACCCTCCCACCCCGAGTGCATGAATTTCGTGCACTAGGCCTCTAGAAACAAATATAATCAATAATATTATAATAACTGTGTATGGTGCCAGTTGGGTACTGGAAATATCAGCAGCAGTACTTTGTAAAGTATATGATTGTCTAACCACTGTACTATACTCCTGAAATTAATATAATATTGAATGTCAACTGTAATTGAAAAAACATTTTTTTTTTCAAAAAGATTAAAGGAATCAAAAAGAAAATGGTAATTAAGAGAACACATGGTTTTTAAGAAAAAAATAAGTAACCATATTTTTTTGTTTGTTTAATTTTTGCTTATAGTTTTTCTTTGAATATGGTATCTATTAGTCTAAGTCTATTACTACAAATACTTATTGACTAAAAATTTTATTATATTTAGAAACCATAGAGTTATAAAAGGGATTGTGTTTTATGATTTGTACTTGAAGTGCCACTTATAAGACATTTGAGATGATAAATTTTGATGCATAGGATAGGGCGAAAGTAAATTTACAGTTTTAAGTATGCAAAACACAGAGTTTATTCTTCTATTATTATTTATTAATTATTGTAATATTTTCCATTCAAACATTTGTAAACCTACTTTGTGTAGAGTTATCAGTTACCTTTGGGTAACATGAGTTTATATAATTCTAGACTTTTTCATAGTATTGAAAAATTACTAGTTTATTCAAGTGACTATAGTTGCAGTTAGTTATTTTTGCTGGTCAGTAAAGTAATCCTAGTTTATTTAGATTATTATTCTATACTACTACCTTGAAGGTACACAATTAGTAGTAATATATAAAACTTGGGATGGCTCCCTTTTGTTGATGTAAACATGTCAGTCTTAGAAGCCTTCTGATTTAACTCTTAAAGTGAAGAAATAATTTTTTTCCCATATTTCTGAGGGTAAAAACAGATCCTAACTTAAAAAAAAACCCTGACTTATTTTTCATATTCTTTTTAGGAAATTAAATCAAGCCAATATGTATTTATAATAAATTCTGTTTATGAAGATAATTTAGGTTTTCAAACATGGAAGCAAGGTTCTAATAACTTTACTTTTAATCTAATAACTTTTAATGTTAAAGAATATTCATAGGTAGCACATTTAAAATATTTGTTTTAGGACATATAATCATTTAACTTTTACCTCACTGTGAGAGGAGGAAAGTGGAAGTTGAAAGTATATTATCTTGTACAAACAGCTAAACATTCAACTGTTTGTCTATTTTTTATAGATGGACGGAAACCATTTCCAATTAACCATGGTGAAACTAGTGATGAAACGTTATTAGAGGTAAGAGTAAAACTTGTCCCACTTTAAGTGTTATTAATGTTCTGGTTATCTTTGAAACATCTCTAAAACTCACTTGTATAACATTTTATCTATATATGGATATTTCCTTGTCCTTGCTCTCTTGAAAAAATCCAAAAAGAAAAATTTGAGCTAGTGTTAACCTATAGCAAATAAAGAAGTTTTCAGAGCTCTTTGTGTGAACAAGTACCAAATTTGAAAAAGGCAAGAATAGTTTTGCTCTGGCTGAGTGGCTCATTTGGTTGGAGTGTCGTTCCATACACCAAAAGGTTGCAGGTTTGATTCCCAGTCAGGGCACATACCTAGGTTGGGGGTTCTACCCCCATTTGGGGGCGTATGGGAGGCAACCAATCGATGTTTCTCTCTCTCCCTTCCTCTCTCTAAAAATTAATAAAAACATTTCCTTGGGAGAGGATTTAAAAAAGAAGAAAAAGGCAAGAATAGTTTTGAAAGAGTTGCACATTGTATCCCATATTTCATTAGATTCATGATACCATCATTTGTATCTTGATCTTGATTTTAGAGATTTTTAAATTTATGAACAAATTGTGTGGCTTAGAATCAATGAAATGTAATTGCCAAGTTAAAAGTTTCTTAAAAGGATTTTAAGAAAGAATACTTACCGTATCTTATACTTTTGGACTAAGCTAATTAGGCCACGAAATGTTCGTTCTTCTGGTGTGCTTTTAGTTGTTCTTCATTTGGAAAAACAAGTGTGCAGTGTAACATTAGTACAAACTAGGAAAGTATGAAACACTTATGATTTGCAAGTAAAACACATGTTTATAAACTGAAAATTTATATTTTTCCCCTATAGGATGCCATAGAAGTTTGCAAGAAGTTTATGGAACGTGACCCTGATGAATTGAGATTCAATGCAATTGCTCTTTCTGCAGCATAGTTTGTCAATAATGGAAACACCAAGTACTGTATTATTTGCAACAAAAATTTCATTTCTGCTGCCATACACTATCTCAAAAATTTTGATATTTTCATTAACTTGACTGATTAAACTTTATGTGAATTAAACTTTGACTTAATCTGTGTTTTATATACTTTGTCCTGAATTTAAGCTGCATTTCTTTTCTTTCCTTTCTTTCCTGTGAAGGATTTAGGTTGGTTGATGACTAGAAATAACCTTCTTATTCTCTTTAAAGTTTTATGGTAAGTTTTGTATTGGGACACAGACACAGTTTCCATCTGCATAGTGTGTATATACAGTGTCCCAAAAACATGTATGCACACTTTTAACAGCTGATAGCTCAATTGATGTTTCTTTCTTTTCAGCCAGACTAAGCTTTAAACAAAGGAAATTCATCCTAAATGCTATTGGAAGTTTGAAAATACGGTTGAAGTACAAACACTGCCTTTATACTAATTCAGTGTATATATATTTTGTAGACACCCTGTGTTCCCAAAAATGTATACTTACGTTAACAGCTAATAACTCACTTCATATTCATTCCTTTTCAGGTTTAACTGATTGAAATATGGGTGAATCTTTGAATAAAGAAAATTTACCCAGTAGACTTTTTTATGGGTATATATAAAAGGTAAAGTTTACTGTACAAAACTGGGAACAGTCACCAAATGGAGGGGACACAAATACCGAATGAAATGATTCTTGATGTTTGTGATTTCACATTATCAACAGGGCCTGGACCAGAACGGTTATCAGTTTGAAAACAGGCACTGACAAAAAAAATTATTTTCTGTAGATTCTTTTAAATTTTGAAAATGAACTGTATGTTAATAAACACTGACTATAATCATTCAAAGTGTGTATACACCTGTTGGGGACACCCTCTGTATATCACGTGGTAACATTTATTTAGCAAACATTTGTTGAGCATCTAATTGCAATGAGCTGGACAGCGTTCTAGGTGCTGGAGTTACACCTGTGAGCACTGTTGACAAGTTCCATCGTCATGGGGCTTATGTTTTTTTGGGGAGAAGAGACAAATGAAGCACATTAATAAAATACATGCCACCAATAGATGCTATGCAGAAAATTAAAGTCGGATTTGTGTTAGACAGTCTGAGTGTCTACTTTAGATTTTGTGGTCAGGGAAGGCTTCTGTAAAGAGGTAACTTCGAAGTTGAGCTCTGAATAGCAAAAGTAGCTATTTTTGCTAATAGAAAGGTGGTGGGGAAGAGAAGAGGTAATAATGCAGATCCCTAAAGTGGGAATATGTCACTGTGTTGTAAGACTGGAAAGAAGATTCATGTGATCAGAATACAGGAAGTAATGGAGAAAAAGGAGGGGCTTAGTGATACAGAAATACAGGTAAAGGCATTGGACTTATTGCAGCTGTGATGGTAAACTCTTGGAGGGTTTTAAGCAAGAGAGTGACCTGATTTGATTAATATTTTTAGGAGGTCACTGAATTCTCTGTGGACAATATTTTGGGGTGAGGTAAGAATAGAGGTAGAGCGGAGCCCACTGCATTTGTTCAGTTAGAGATGATGGCCAAGTCGTGAAAAATCCAGTAGTTTCCCTTATCTGAGGTCTTGCTTTCCACGGTTTGTTAGCCATGGTCAAACAGTCTAAAAATATTAAATGGAAAATTCCAGAAATAATTCATAAGTTTTAAATTGTGCACCGTTATGAGTAGCATGATGAAAACTCACACTGCCCTTCTCTGTCCTGCCTGGGCCGTGAATCATCCCTTTTTGTGCATCATCCACGCTGTTTGCACTTTGCCTATTAGCCACTTAGCCTTCTCAGCAGTTCCACCATCATGGTATCTCAGTGCTTGTATTCAAAGGGCAAGAGAAGTGATGCTGGTAATTCAGATATGCCAAAGAGAACCCATAAAGTGCTTCCTATAGGTGAAAAGATAAGTATGTAGAGGAAAAACGTATTTGCTGTCATCCACAGTTTCAGGTATTGACTGGGGTCTTGGAACATATGCTCCATGGATGAGGGGGAAATGTTATAGTAGTAATTTAGATAGAGGTCTATGAGTGGATTTGGGGCGTGTTTTGAAGAAGGAAGGGTTTCAGTTGAGTCTGAAAGGATAGGTGGGAGGCAGTGGGAAGGTGGCAGGGTTATTTACAGAGCTGGGTCAAAATAGGGTTGTGTGATGGCACTGTCCTTCCTATAGCATTTTGGGCGAGAGTATTGGATACGCAGTTGTATACATGTATGGAAACTCAATGAATTAATTCATTTAAAATCTGTACTTCACTGTATATTCATTTTACCTTAAAAAAATTTTAGCCCTGACCGGTTTGGCTCAGTGGATAGAGCGTCAACCTGCGGACTGAAGGGTCCCAGGTTCGATTCCGGTCAAGGGCATGTACTTCGGTTGCGGGCGCATCCCCAGTGAGGAGTGTGCAGGAGGCAGCTGATGGATGTTTCTCTCTCATCCATGTTTCTAGCTCTTTGTCCCTCTCTCTTCCTCTCTGTAAAAAATCAATAAAATATATTAAAAAAAAAAATTAAAAAAGCAGAGCTGAATTGGGTTGGCTGGAATCAGTATAACTTTTAGGAGAAAGACTAAATTGGTCCAGAATGAAGCTCTTGATAAAATTGAGTGTAAATGTTTATATAGGATCCACTAAGTTAATGTAGATTCCTGAGACAGTATCATGATGTAAGTGGTATTTTAGGCAAAGTAATAGGGCCATGGCTTGCAGAATGGATTAGATCTTTGTTATTATTCTAAGTATGGTTGCATCAATATTACCTGGAAACTTGTTAGAAATGAAGAATTCCAGACCCCACCTTAGACCTACTAAATCAGTAAGATCTTACAGCATTTTAGGTAAGATCCCTGAGTGAGTCATACATATTAAGTTTGGGACTATACTGAGGAAGATTTACCAACTTTCTATGGTGAAGAGGGCTTGAATGAAGCGATAGCAGTAGGAATGGAGAAATAATCTGAAGTAATTCGATAAATTATGTAGCTGATGGCTTTTGTCATGCCAGTTAACAACCACCTAGTATTATATTCTTTTGTTACATTGTTTGCATTTTGTATTCATATCTGTCTTGCATATTATCTTAAATATTTTAAATATTTCTGAGCAGTTTTCTACCTGTTGCCCTGCAAGATTTCTCATACTATATGATTTCTTAATAGGGCCTTAATGGCATCTCACTAAGAATTTACATAGTTTCTCAGTATTTAATATGAAAATACTGTCTTGGCCCACTGTTAATGGATAAGAAAGGGTTGAGATTAAGTACCTTTTGAAAATATTGGGTTAAAGTTACTTTTTAAAATGTAGATATATTAAGTGGGGACAATTGAAGAATTCAAGTTTTTTAAAAAAAATTCTGTGTCTTATGAATATCATTTCTAAACATTTTATGGAGCAACATTTAGAGCTAGCATTCTTTTGCACACACTTTAGGATAACAGTCCTGCCGGGGTTCTTGTTCCAGCATCAAGAAGGGTTCAGCAATCTGGAGAAGGGGCTGTGCAGAACTTAAAGAGTCCAGAGACGAAATATAATTTTGAAAGGCATTGGGGATCAGAGGAGCCTAGCTAAAGAAACTAAGATCTCCTCGTCTCAGGACCCCATGCTTTTTATTAACACAAATTGTCCTGAGGCGAGGCAGAGATATACACTTCAAAGGGTAGGGTTTCATATACAGAGGCATTGTCAGAATGGGGGAATTAGCCTACGGCTGTTCAAGTGTTTGGCCAGTAGGAGGCAATAACATGTAGATTAAGATGCCCTGAGCTGTCTGGCAGCAAGCAATCATCCCTTTTCAGGTTTGGGGATGATTCCCAATAGATGGTAACATATGTGACTCAGCCCTTGTTGAGTCCCCAAATTCCATCAATCTTTTGATGAAACTCTTGGAATTATGACATGCTGGAATTGGCTTCTGGCACAGTCCCTTGTGGAATATAAATCTTGAAAATTTTCTTTTGCTTCTCCCTTCTTAGGTTATATCTAGAATTTTAGTCCTTCTCCAACTCTATTTCTATCAATACTTAGTTTAATCACTTTCTTAAAACTTAGCACTTATAGAAGAGATTAAATTTGTATGGAAACTTACAAAGAGACACTAAGAGTGATCAAGTTGTGGCTCATTTCTGTACTAGAGGCCCGGTGCACAAAAATTTGTGCACTGGGGGTGGGGGGTAAGTGGGGGTCCCTCAGCCCGGCCTGTGCCCTCTCGCAGTCTGGGACCCCTCAGGGGATGACCAGCTGCTGGCTTAGGCCCGCTCCCCAGGGGATTGGGCCTAAGATGGCAATCAGACATCCCTCTGGCAGCCCGGCAGCCCTCGGAGGTTGTCCACTTGCCAGCGGGGAGCAGGCCTAAACTGCAGTCAGACATCCTTAGCGCTTCTGAGGAGGCAGGAGAGGATCCCACCACCACCGCTGTACTGGCAGCCATCAACCTAGCTTGTGGCTGAGTAGAGCTCCTCCCATGTGAAAGCGACCTGACCACCAGAGGGCAGCTCCTGCATTGAGAGTCTGCCCCCTGGTGGTCAGTGTGTGTCATAGTGACCAGTCATTCCCAGTCCTTCTGCTGTTAGGGTCAGTTTGCATATTACCCTTTTACTATATAGGATAGAGGCCTGGTGCACAGGTGGGGACCGGCTGGTTTACCCTGAAGGGTGTCCCGGATCAGGGTGAGGGTCCCACTTGGGTGCCTGGCCAGCCTGGATGAGGGGATGATGGCTGTTTGCAGCTGGTCACACCCCCTTCAGGATGGGGGTCCCCACTGGGGTGCCTGGCCAGTCTGGGTGAGGGGCTGAGGGCCGTTTTCAGGCTGGCAGGCGACTGAAGCTCCCAACCTCTCCTTTTGTTCTTTTTTTTTAAATTATTATTCTGGGATTTATTTACCTTCTATGGCTGTCATTGGAGCTGAGAGCCGGCTTTAGCTCTGAGGCTCAGCTCCAGTTCTGAGATCTCAGCTGCTGAAAGCAGGTATCTGGGTTTGTTTGGCTTCTATAATTGAAACACTGTTGCAACTCCAGCTCTGAGGCCCGGCTGGCTGAAAGCAGGTTTCTGGGGTTTGTTTAGCTTCTATAATTGCAACATTGTTTCTTAGAGTGCAGCTCAGA